CATTCTTTTAAAGGCTTCTACTTATCAAAATGCTGAAATTATATTGCAGATCATGCAGTTGCTTTCTTTTCATGTGCCATTAGACAAATCAGGCTATCCCATACAAAAAAAGGTTTTTTGGGGTACCCTGATATGTTGTAATGGATGTGGTTTGGGTAGTCTCCCTTTAATAGTTTCAAATTAGTATTTTTTCAATTAAATGTTTATTTTATTTTAAATTTTATCTAGACAAGCTAAAAGACAAAGTAGCTTAACCAACAGTTAGTTGATCAACAGTTAATTGCTGTGAACATGGTGAAGGCGTCAAAGCAAAAAAATAAAATAGGCCTTCAAGACGTCATAATTATTTGGACTAGTACAGCTTGAGATTAAAAATGATCCTACAGAAACTGAGAAAGAAATACTGAACTATAAAGTACTTTTATATTTGCAGTTCTTTCATAGTTTGAATGCTATAATGAAGTATTAATTAATGAAATTTAACTACTTATCGTTTTATTAATAAACTGTCAAAACGAAAGTAGAATGTTTATCATTTTTGTTGAAAAGCTATTTACTGAGATATCTTTATGATCCTGTTTGGTCTAGTTATAAGCAGACAAGTTTTAGAAGTGAGTAACGCACCTTTCACAGATTGAAACAGAATAATCCATTCTTTATCCCTGGGTGATAGTGTAGCGGTTCTTGTCGTCAAGTTTACCCTCCTGGATTCGGGAAAACTTTTCTGTAATTCATTAAATTGAATTTCATTGTTGAAACCTCTTACCACTATACATTTTTCACAAATTATCTGTTTTATTTCAGCATTGTCCATCTTCTTAAAAATCTTCAACTACGGTGACGTTTTTCCCAGTTTATCCCATCGTCTTTGCTTTCGTTTTGAAGAAGTGGCGAGAAACGTACATAACTTAGTGTCGCGCCCGGAAATGAAAAACAAAATTAGACCTAAAAAATTACTTAATATCCGGGGTTTTTTTTTTTTTCTTCTTTTCTTCACAAAGTTTGGTCGCAAATCCAAATAGTCTATGAAAAAAGGGGGAGGGGTAGTGGACCTTATATCCTATGGAGGTTTCTCAGATTCCTCCGTAGGATATAAGGTCCACCGGGAGGGGTCAGCTTAATTTTGTCTCAGATTTTCGTAAATTTTTTAGGGAGCTACCATTTGATTTTTATGGGGGGGCTAGGATGAAATTTGAAAAAAAGGCAGGACAGGAGTTTTGAGTAAAAAAAAAGGCAGGATGAGCAACTTGGCAAAAAAAAAAATGCAGGATGACAATTTATGTAAAAAAAGGGACGAGGATAAAAGCTTATGTGAACGGTTACTGCCAGTCACCACTTATAAAAAAAGTAGTGCTGCATATATCTACGCGTATGATCATATACAATTTTATAGGTGCCTGCAGGTCACACCATATTTATCTGTATCAAATGTGCCTGCAGGTCTCACCAAAAATGTATCTGGACAATAGGTGTTTGCAGATCACATCACTTAAGATCTGCAACATAGCTTATCATTTGAGTCTGCAGGTCAGACTGCTTATTATCTGTACCATAGCCTATTATATATGCCTGCATGTCACACTTTGAGTTATATATCTGTATGGTAGGTGCCTGCAGGGCACATCACTTTAGATTTGCACCATATATATAAAAGGAAGATGTGGTATGATTGCCAATGAGACAACTCTCCACAATAGACGGCCTAATTTAAGTACAAAATAATAAACGAAAAAAAAATATGAAACACAGCAACAAAAAGTAAAATCACAAAAATACTGAACTCTGAGGAAAATTCCAAAAACGGAAAGTCCCTAATCAAATTGCAAAATCAATTTCTCAAACATATCAAACGAATGGATAACAACTGTCATATTCCTGACTTGGTACAGACATTTTCTTATGTAGAAAATGGTGGATTGAACCTAGTTTTATAGCTAGCTAAACCTCTCACTTGTCATACCCAACTATATCAGTCCTATTCAGGACCGATAACTCTGTCGATAAATATTGTCGGGTATACAATGTTGTTGAAATCAGAGCAATTGTATTATATGTCTCTGTTGAAATGTATACAATAACAAATTTTTTTACACAAGTTTAACTTTATATCGATTTATTGAATGCCTGGATTTTGCTTAAATATTGAATTAAAAAAATAAATAATAAAATCATATTCAATGAAATCTCGTTTAATTTTTTACGAAATAATACAAAATCCATTTAAATTAAAATTTGAATCAAAATATTTCTTTAAAATAATTATAGAAACATAAATATTAGTTTGATTATCTTTTAAAACAAAAATTATTTTTTTAAAGATTTTTTTTTATAATATTCATATTTTCTTTAAGTTTATTATGATACATTCTTCTTCTGGTTTGACACGGGGAAGAGAAGATATTTATTTGTACAGTTATGAAAACTTTTGTATATCACAAAATTTAAACTCTGGTAATACATGTATACACAGGATGTTTAATGTCACCTGGTTGCTTTTGGTTTGCACGTCTACCTGACAATATATTGTTATGTAACATTACATCCAAAGTCAGAGTTCACCTGTTCGTCAAGTGATGGGATTTTGAAGGTATGGAATATTTATCTATAATAATTGTTGGGATTTTTTTCTCTCTTGGGACGTAAATATTTTTTTGTTCTAAAAGGAATGTATAAATATATTTCTAAAGAAAGATAAATTATACAGAAAACAGGAAAAAAACCTTTTGAAAAAAGAAGAGAAAAAATTTTATTATAAATTTTATTGTTAACTATTTTCTGGTAACAGTATATCCTGGATATCTGTCAAAATAAAATTTTCCGTGTCACACTTAAATTAATATTTTTTTAATTAATAAATTTTGAAATCAATCATATCGAAATATCACCAAAGAAAATAACAGAAACATCAGAGATTCTACATGAAAATTAAATTAAATCAAGGAAAGTCTTACTATACAAATCCTCGATTTGATGCAACATTTCCATATACATCATCCGCCATTTAGAAAAATCCCGAAATATTCACTTTTTTAAATCGATTTTTGACCGAAATTGCCCAGAAATTAAACTATTTTAAATAGTATTTTTCGCCAGATATATGTTTGAATATACTTAATCGAGTTGCAAAGTTTTATTTTTATTAACGGAATTTCTTTATTTGTTATACAAGTAGACATGGGTATCGGTAATTTAGCATTGAGTCAACGGAGAAATAACGAGAAAAAGTACATGTTTTTACGATTCTCCAGTGACAGAATTTAATCAAAAATTAAACTGTTAGGACCAACATTGTTTGATAGAAATATGTTTGAATATCAAGGATTGATTTGCAAAAGTTAGAAAACGGGTCAGGTTCATGAGAAAACTCAACTTTATTGAAGCACCTATAACTGACTCTATTTTAAAAGAGTAAAATCCATTTTATTCCTTTTTATAATCTTTTTCAATGTTTACCATAAATGAGTGCAGATTTCATAAAGAAACACACAATTTTTACAATATTCCATGTTTTTATTCATATAATTAATAAAACATACATTTAATTTTCGGGAAATTTCCCAAAATATATAAAAGTTTTAAAATATTTGTGGTAAAGATGTATGTGACAACTTTTTATTCGGGAAATGTCCCGAAATCATTTTCAACAGTATTTTTTATAACATATATGTTGGCAAAGCGTTTTGACAAACAGATCTGAAACACATTTCGGGAAAAATCCCGACAAAAATAAACTAAGTGCAAAATGTATAACACAGATGTTTTCAAATATTTCGGGATAAAACCCAAAGTATATGCTAGAACTCATGACTAATAATTTCTTTTCACATTTCGGGAAAAATCCCGAAAATATAAATCTATTATCAGGCACACACTTGTTGCATAGATTTTTTTACCCATTTCGGGAAAAATCCCGAAATAAAATCTACAAGGAAAAATTATGCTACAGATTTCTTAAACATATTGGGAAAAAACCCGAAAAAAAAAAATCTATAAGATTTTACAACACAGAATTTTGATACATTCAGAAAGTTTTTATGTAAATTTGTTTCCAACATTTGTTGAAATATTATGATTCATAAAAAATATGTGTCTAACTGAAAAAAATATGAATTTTGTTTATAAGCATACTTTTTTAAAGTATTTTCTAAGAAATATAAAGGTTGCTCTCTACTGCATCTCTTTTGTCATGCTTCAGTGATTCCCTATATATAATCAACAAAATTTGTCCCACAATGGGGGAAGGGGGGGGGGGGGGGGGGGCAGGCCCCTTCTAAATCCACCTCTGATAAGTGGTCGATTTTAAACTGGCCTAAGCATAAACTTTAACATGTAAACTATGCAAAAGATTGTAAGTTATTAGACCATGATTGAGGGTTCAGGGTAAAAAAATCCCCAAGCACATGCGTTGTCCTAAAGCTTATTCAACTGCAAATAAAATATCCCTGACATACTATTTGTGGTTCTCCTTAAACTGAACTTATCACAAACCTTACAGTGTAAACTAAGGAAATTTTCAAAGTCAATATACCATTAGGTTACTGATAGGCCGGTGAGGAGGGCAGCGATCTATGGGATTGAGATGTGTGTCCATAACACATTATACCCTGCTCCCACAATCACATTTCCATCAGTAACTTATTTGTAATTATTTTAAAAAAATGACTTCATAATGAACACTTGTAAGTACAAAGTTTCAAGTTTATTTGACCATAACATCATAGTAAACTAATGTACACCAAAGACTTAATTACCAACTGTACTGTTTGTACATCTTGAAAACAAAATGATTGATAAAAACTGGTTTCAACTCATTACTTCAAATGCCAATGAAATTTTAAAATAGGATGTAAAAAAAACTAAAACTCAAAAATATTTAATAATATAGCCTCATTTCATTTTCCTAATTTGCACAATTTTTTTTTTGTCACAGAAAAAATTGAAGAAACTATCTTTAATTATATTTTTCTAAATTTCTTCGATGTTCTCCACAGCAAAAAAAACAAAAAAAAATACTGTTCTAAAATAAAATACATGTACTATATAATATTACAAATACATAACTACAAATCAGAGTAGACATGTGAATAAATCTTCATAACATGTGCAATGTTTGTTATATATATATATTCAGATGGATTTATTACATGTTATATAAATTGATCTGTTTCTTTACTGATGACTAGTTCTTTCTTCCTTTCAATCCTGCCTATAAGAGCAAAGTAAAATAACATTTAATAAAAGACAACAAAAACATTCTATTCCACTGTACATGCTAAATGTAAATATTAATAGTGAAATCAACAATTTTGATCATGTTGATAGGTTGAGACTTTCACACTTGACATTTATAACAAAACTTCATTTCCCCCTCTGAACATTTTGATTGCCTTGTGTGACGTTTCACACAATCAACATGATCATAATGTACATAACTTTTCCAACATTTTTTTACAATAAAGATAGTATAGCCATTAATAGTTTTCAAAATTATTTCAGTGTAGAGTTGAGTAATCTTTTCCCTTTCTCCAATTGAATGTTACTGGCAACCTGCATTCTTCTATGTAACTTTTTTCATTTTACAAATACTGATCAAAATTTAAAAGGGGAGCAATATTGAGTTTTCAGAAACTACTGCAAGTCCATGTGCCTATCCAAAGTCGAGACTTTTTCTGTCACCTAAAGTTGTATCTTAAAGCTTTTATTTTTAGGGAATTTGATGTTGGATAGTAGATGTTTGTTTTTTTTGGGGCTTTTCAATTGACAATTGAGATGTTTATTAAATTCTACAATCACTTGTTAATCATTTCAAGACAGTTGACCTATAACAAGAGGCTCTCAAGAGCCTGAATCACTCACCTGTAATTTTTTGCTTAAATCTTTCATCAATGATTATTTTTGCTTTTCACTATATATTAATGAATGGCTTAAAACTTCCATTGAACATGTTGAAATGTTCTTTGTATCTGTCATATTTTCTTCAAAATCAAAGAAATACAAAATTTATACTAGATACTCTGAAACTCATTCAGCCCAAGTTTGGCTGAGATTGATTCAGCAGTTTCAAAGGAGAAGATTTTTTAAAGTAAGCAAACTAAATGAACAAGTTGTGAAAAATTGATTTTAAAGGGCAATAACTCCTTAAGGGGACAATTGACAATTTTGGTCATACGAAATTATTTGTAGATCTTACTTTGCTGAACATTTTTGCTGTTTACAGTTTATCTTTATCATTAATAATATTCAAATTCAAAATAACCAAAATCTGCAAAATTTCTTTAAAATTACCAATTAAGTGGCAGCAATCCAACAATGGGTTGTTAGATTCATCTGAAAATTTCAGGGCTGACAGAGCTTGGTCTAATAAACATTTTTACCACAGATTAGCTCTAAATGCTTTGGTTTTAGAGATATAAGCCAAAAACTGCATTTTACCCCTACATTCTATTTTTAGCCATGGCGGCCATGTTTTTTTGCGAGACAAAAAATAAAACACAAACTTTATTCTAGATACCCTTAAAATCATTCAGCTTAAGTTTGGTTGGAATTGGTTCAGTAGTTTCAGAGGAGAAGAGTTAGAAAACATAATAAATAAATTGTGTAAAATTGTCCTTAAAGGGCAATAACTCCTTACGGAGTCAATTGACAATTTTGATCATATGAACTTATTTGTAGATCGTACCTTGCTGAACATTTTTGCTGTTCACAGTTTATCTTTATCATTAATAATATTCAAGATAATAACCAAAAACTGCAAAATTTCCTGAAATTACCAATTTAGTGGCAGCAACCCAACAATGGGTTATCAGATTCAACTGAAAATTTCGGGGCTGATAGAACTTCCCCTAATGAACACTTTAACCCATGTCAAACTTGCTCTAAATGCTTTGGTTTTTGAGATATAAGCCAAAAACTGCATTTTACCACTATGTTCTATTTTTAGCCATGTCGGCCATGTTATTTGACGAAACAGTAAATAAAACATAAACTTTATTCTAGATACCCTAAGCATCATTCAGCTAAAGTTTGGTTGGAATTGGTTCTGTGGTTTCAGAGGAGAAGATGTTTGAAATAGTTTACACCAGACGTACGACGACAGACAACAACGATGACGGACGCCAAGTGATGGCAAAAGCTCATCACCGATCCGTTCCTTTGGAACGGTGAGCTAAAAATATGATGAAACCTTTTCAACTGATTTTTATAGTTTGTTCTTATGTTTTGCTGTAACACCACTGTCCTAGGTTAGGGTAGGGTTGAGCACTCAAAAACTTGTTTAACCTGCCACATTCTTTATGTGCCTGTCCCAAGTCAGGAGCCAGTATTTCCATGGAAGTCGTTGGTTTATGTATGTTATATATTTGATTTTCGCTACTTGTTTTGTTATATATTAGGCCGTTAGTTTTCTCGGGGCCTTTTATAGCCGACTATACAGTATGGGTTTTTCTCATTGTAGTAGGCTGTACAGTTACCTATCACTGCTTACATCCACTTTACTCAAACTTTGGTGGATAGTTGTCTCATTGGCAATCATGCACCATTTCCTTATTTTTTATAAGTATAGGTCAAAACTGCATCTATGCTGTTTATTTATTTTTTGTGTTGTTGAGTTGCATTTCATCTGTAATAAACAGGTATAAATTCTTGTAACAATATGTTTAAATTATGTGAAAATCATGGATTATTTATTCCTTTCAAAATTCTGTGAATAAATAAATGGGGAATGTGCCCATAGGACACAGATGATGCCCCCGCTTGCATATAACATTTTAAAGGGTCATAAATCAAGAATGGTAAAAGTGACACACAGTACCTAAATGAGTACTTGATCTGAGTTTTGTGGTAATAAGCATTGTGTATAAGTTTTTGAACATTTGATTAAGCAAACTTAAGTTTATAGTGAACTAAAATGAATAAACAGCTGCACCATGAGTGCATGATACGCCCATTGCTTTTTCAAAGAATAAAGTTCAATAACTTCTTAATGTCATATCAGAAATTCATGAAAAACTAAAGGGAGGTTATCTTAATAGATACAAACCAGTCAGCAAAGTTTCATGATAACTGCTCAAAGCATAGTCCGATAACTGGAAAATCCCCCCTTTTTATGAATAAAATCACATAACTCCAAACTTAAATCTAAAATTGATAAAAATCAAAAGGGAGCTTGAGTCAAAAGATATAAACAATTCACTAAAGTTTCATCAAAACTGCTGAAAGCATTTTGAGTCATTGTCCGAAAACTGGAAATTCCCCCTTTTTTTAATGAATAAAACTCCATAACTCGGAAACGTAAAATCTTGAATTTATAAAAATTGAAAGGGAGATCATGTCAATAGATATAAACAATTCACCAAAGTTTCTTGCAAATTGGTGAAAGTTTTTTTGAGTTATTGTCCCAAAACTGGAAATTCCCCCTTTTTTAATGAAAAAAAACCCAAAACTTGGAAACTTCAAATCTAAAATTTATAAAAAAGGAAAGGGAGCTCACATCAATAGATATAACTAATTCACCAAAGTTTCATGTAAATTGGTTCAAGCGTTTTTGATTTGTCAGACATGTTGACGAAGGACAGACAGACGGATGGACGGACTGACGGACAACGGTATACCATAATACGTCCCGTAAACTGGCGTATAAAAATTTGGCAATTTTTCTAATTGTAAAGGAGCATAACTCTAGAACAGTAAAAGTGAGGCCACCAACATTCAAACTTGATCTGTGTTTTGTGGTAATAAGCATTGTGTATAAGTTTCATAATATTTGGTTCAGGCAAACTAAAGTTAGAGAACGGACACAAAAAAAAATCAGCAACTTTTCCATTTGTAAAGAGGCATAACTCTAAGTCTAGAATGGTAAAAATGACGCTACCAAAATTCAAACTTGATTTGTGGTTTGTGGTAATAAGCATAATTAAGGTATAAGTTTCATAACATTTGGTTGAGGCAAACTAAAGTTAGAGAACAGAAACCAATTAATGGGACGTACGGACTTACACTGGTAAATTATTAAGTCAGGGATTTCGTTACCATAAATTACTTAAAACTTTTACTAAATTCTTTCATAGATACAAAGATTTGATTAGTAAATTTGGTTGTACCTGTAGAAAACTTATAAAAAACGGTATTTCACATCCTAAACTTTACAGTAATATTGTACTAAAAGCACGGAAATCACTGTGTGATCCATGTATTAAACTCATCGAACCTTTAAACAAACTTATTAGTAAAGGTTATCTTACAAATGTTGTAATTAGATCTTAGAATATAGTTTACAATAGCACAATAACGATTTTGTCATCAGCAAATTAAAACAGAACTAAATTTGTATTTTTTTTAAGTGGGATGTATAAATACACATCCACGTTAATTTTTTCTATATAGAGGTTAACATAACTATATATCCTACAGCCTGTTGATACTTTTATTTTTGGCATTGCACAAGTCATGTCTTCTTTGACTGTCCATGATATTAAAATACTAAATCCCTGGGATGTGTTTTAGTTGATTTTAGTCTCTGATGCATGATTTTTTTGTTATTAATTGATTAATTTTGGCTTTTAACTAGCTTTCAGTATACGTAACTGCGAGTACTCTCAAATCGTACTTTCATGTTGACCTGTTGATTCAATCTTAATGTTTTTTGTTATTCAATGTTTCTCTATTTTTGATAAATACCACGCAGCTGCTTTGATAAGTGTTTAGTATGACTTTAAATTTTTACTTCTTTTTCTCATACTATGAACAACAAAATTATTTATTTTGTAAAAAATATTTCTGTTTTCCATTTATACTGTGTCTTTCTATTATGTGATGTTACACTATTGTTTCAGGTAAGGGTGAAGGTTGGTACCTATTAAAACGTTTAAACCTGCTGCATTTGTTTGCACCTGTCCTAAGTCAGGAACCTGATGATCAGTAGTTGTGGTTTGTTGATGTGTTTCATAAGTGTTTCTCGTTTCTCATTTTTTATATAGATTAGACTGTTGGTTTTCCCGTTTGAATGGTTTTACACTAGTCATTTTTGGGGCCTTTTATAGCTAACTGTTCGGTGTGAGCCAAGGCTCCGTGCTGAAGACTGTACTTTGACCTATAATGGTTTTTCTTTTACAAATTGTGATGGAGAGTTGTCTCATTGGCACTCGTACCACATCTTCTTATATCAGTTTGAAATTTCAAAAATTTTGAAGAAAAAAATATAAACTCCCCCAAATATTTTGAACAACCCCCCCCCCCCCTTTTGGAGTTATTACCCCCAATATCAAATTACGTACAGATGTACAAGGGTAAAACTTAATGCCCCCTCCGCTAAGACGGGGCATAACAAAATGCATATATATATAAAGCAGCAGGACTCTTATTAAGACTGAATATGACTGTACCTTATTCTGCATTCTTTCATCTTTAACCATTTATACTAATTCTTCTGGTATCTCCTGATTGTTGTCATGAATTTAGGTTCTTCATTTCTTTTACGTCCAGGCAATTTTTGTAAGAAAGCACCATATTTCAAGCTAAGTGTACCCATGGTTTGTCCTGGGTGTATTTGATAAAAATGATAAATGTTGACTGCATCTTTTGGTGTCTCTCTTGTAAAACAATAATGCAAAGTCTCTGTGTGTTGTTTAAAATTACTAATCATAGTAATTAACCAGTAACATATATTGTATTATAATTTCACTTTTGAAACATCTTGAATAATCCTGAACAGTGACTGCACAGTTTCAGCATCCTTTGTTCTTAATTTTTCTGATATTAGCTGAAAGCAGGATCAATATCTTCATGTGTGTGGCCAACAAGTACGAACGACCAGAGAACCTGAAAAAAAAATATCTGTTGAGTTCTTGACTAGTATCATTTATTTATCCATTAAAGAGGTAGAGTTTTGTTAGAATTTTGAAAGGTGGAAGCAGTATAATTACTTTTAATGCACTAAAATATGTAATAAATGAAGCAAGAATGTGTCAATGAAACACAGATGTCCCTGCATGTAAATAAATCTCATTTATCAATTTTTTTTATTAATAAAGTAACATAATATGAGAATGGTGAAGGTGACGACACCCAAACTTGTAAGCATTGTGTATAAGTTTCATAACACTTGGTTGAGGCAAAGAAAAGTTAGAGTGCAGTTTGGGTTTTGAACTAGTTTTCAATTACTTCAAGTTCCCTGATATTGATTCATGTTTTTTTTATTACAGTACAATACATACTAATCTGATGGTTTATGAACAAAGTAAAATCACAAAAATACTGAACTCCGAGAGCAACAATGAGAGCACAATACAAAGACAACAACATGTTTATCAAAATATCATTTTCATTTTGTTACTTCTAATATTCTAAAACCACAGAAGAAAAATAAATTTACATATCTTGCCCTGTTAATGAGTTTTGATGAAAATTAGTTTTAAAATTATTCATCAAATACACAGGATAAGAACCTGTGGGTAGTGCTCTGTGGTTAAATAATTGACTCATTTTCATAGGTTTATGACCACTGACCAGCTATAATAATAATGGCTATAGAAAAAGAGGTGTATAACAAGTGTTTAGAAATGAAGAAGATAATGAACTTCAAAGAAAAATACATTTTTATATTAGAGCTGCCATGAGAAAAAAAACATTTGATAAATTGTATAGCAATAAGGAAATTAAAATATTAATGTAAAAGCATAAATCAAATATAAATAAGTACAACATTTAATATTGTTGATGTTAATAACATTTCTATAATATAACAGATTTTCTTGAGAATTTCTAAAATATATGAATTTATGAGGGCTAGGATCCCGCTAACATAACCCTGCCACAGTCTGTATGTATGTGCCTGTCCCAAGTCAGGAACCAGTAATTCAGTGGTTGTTGTTTGTTGTTCGTTCATTTTTTGTACATTATTTAGGCCTTTGTTTTCTCGTTTGAATTGATTTACATTTGTGATTTCGGGGCCTTTTATATCTGACTATCCGGTATGGGCTTTGCTCATTGTTGAAGGCTGTTCTGTGACCTATAGCTGTTAATTTCTGTGTCATTTGGTCTCTTGTGAAGAGTTGACTCATTGGCAATCATACCACATCCTCCTTTTTATATGTACACCTTACAATCATTCTATACATCAAATATAGTTGACCTACTGCTCTGAGTATTTTAAAAACAGACCAAAACACAAAAACTGAACAATTGACCAATTAACCATGAAGGAGAGGTCAAAGTCAGATGATACCTACCAGACAGTCATGCAAGCCTTACAACCATTCCATACACCAAATATAGTTAAGGTACTGCTTATAGTATTTGAAAAACTGACAGAGACACAAAACCTTAACATTGAATACTGAACCATGAAAAAGAGGTCAAGGATGAAACCTGCCAAACTGACATGCACCCCTTACAATCATTTCATACACCACTTATAATATCTGAAAAAGAGTGCACACGCTGAAATGTCTTGCCTTCTGTATTAACCATTGATTTTATGTTGATAGTCCTATAAACATAAAGCTTTACTACAAGTTTCATATGAACTTATCATGATCTAAGAAAATGAGGCCAAGATCAGATTAACCAATAATAAGAAATACATGTACACCTTACAATCATTTAATTCACCAAATATAGTTGACCTATTGCTATAGTTTCTAAGAAACAGACTTAACCAAGAAAACTAAGCATTGACCAATGAACCATGAAAATGAGGCCTAGGTCAGATGATACATGCAAGACAGGTACAATCCTTCCATACAACAAATATAGTTGACCTACTAAGTATTTCTTATAGTTTAAGAAAAACAGACCAAAACACAAAAACTTAACACTGAGCAATTTCTGTGAAAAATTGAAAAACCATAAAAAATGAGGTCAAAGTAAAATAAAACCTGTGAGACTGACATGTAGATCATAAAAAATTTCCATACATCAAATATAGTTGACCTATTGCATATAGTATTGGAAAAAAGACCGAACACAAAAACTTAACTTTGACCACGAACCATAAAAATGAGGTCAAAGTCAGATGACACCTGCGAAACAGACATATACACCTTTCAATCCTTCCATACAACAAATATAGTTGACTTATTGCTTACAGTTTACGAAAAAAACAGACCAAAACACAAAAACTTAACACTGAGCAATGAACTGTGAAAATGAGGTCAAGGTCAAATAAAACCTGCTAGACTATCCATGTGTCTGGCTTTCTTCAACAGAAGTGGCAGGCTCGACAAACTAGAGGCTCTAAAGAGCCTGTGTCGCTCACCTTGGTCTATGTGCATATTAAACAAAGGACACAGATGGATTCATGACAAAATTGTGTTTTGGTGATGGTGATGTGTTTGTAGATCTTACTTTACTGAACATTCTTGCTCCTTACTATTATCTCTATCTATAATGAACTTGGTCCTGTAGTTACAGTGGAAAATATTTTGTAAAAATTTACAAAAATTTACAAAATTTATGAAAATTGTAAAAAATTGACTATAAAGGGCAATAACTCCTTAAGGGGTCAATTGACAATTTTGGTCATTTGACTTATTTGTAGATCTAACTTTGCTGTACATTATTGCTGTTTACAGTTTATCTCTATCTATAATAATATTCAAGATAATAACCAAAAACGGCAAAATTTCCTTAAAATTACCAATTCAGGGGCAGCAACCCAACAACGTGTTGTCTGATTGGTCTGAAAATTTAAGGGCAGATAGATCTTGACCTAATGAACAATTTTATCCTCATCAGATTTGCTCTAAATGCTTTGGTTTCAAAGATATGAGCCAAAGACTGCATTTTACCCTATGTACTATTTTTTAGCCATGTCGGCCATCTTGGTTCGCGCGCGGGGTCATCGGACACATTTTTTAAACTAGATACCCTAATGATGATTGTGGACAAGTTTGGTTAAATTTGTTGTAGTAGTTTGAGAGGAGAAGATTTTTGTAAAAGATTACAAAAATTTACGAAAAATGGTTAAAAATTGACTATAAAGGGCAATAACTCCTTAAGGGGTCAACTGACCATTTTGGTCAAGTTGACTTATTTGTAGATCTTACTTTGCTGTACATTATTGCTGTTTACAGTTTATCTCTATCTATAATAATATTCAAGATAATAACCAAAAACGGCAAAATTTCCTTAAAATTACCAATTCAGGGGCAGCAACCCAACAACGTGTTGTCTGATTGGTCTGAAAATTTAAGGGCAGATAGATCTTGACCTAATGAACAATTTTATCCTCATCAGATTTGCTCTAAATGCTTTGGTTTCAAAGATATGAGCCAAAGACTGCATTTTACCCTATGTACTATTTTTTAGCCATGTCGGCCATCTTGGTTCGCGCGCGGGGTCATCGGACACATTTTTTAAACTAGATACCCTAATGATGATTGTGGACAAGTTTGGTTAAATTTGTTGTAGTAGTTTGAGAGGAGAAGATTTTTGTAAAAGATTACAAAAATTTACGAAAAATGGTTAAAAATTGACTATAAAGGGCAATAACTCCTTAAGGGGTCAACTGACCATTTTGGTCAAGTTGACTTATTTGTAGATCTTACTTTGCTGTACATTATTGCTGTTTACAGTTTATCTCTATCTATAATAATATTCAAGATAATAACCAAAAACGGCAAAATTTCCTTAAAATTACCAATTCAGGGGCAGCAACCCAACAACGGGTTGTCCGATTCATCTGAAAATTTCAGGGCAGATAGATCTTGACCTGATAAACAATTTTACCCCATGTCAGATTTGCTCTAAATGCTTTGGTTTCAGAGATATAAGCCAAAATCTACATTTTACCCCTATGTTCTATTTTTAGCCATGGTGGCCATCTTGGTTGGTTGGCCAGGTCACCGGACACATTTTTGAAACTAGATACCCCAATGATGATTGTGGCCAAGTTTGGTCAAATTTGGCCCAGTAGTTTCAGAGGAGAAGATTTTTGTAAAAGTTAACGACGACAGACGACGATGACGGACGACGGACGCCAAGTGATGAGAAAAGCTCACTTGGCCCTTTGGGCCAGGTGAGCTAAAAAAGGACTAAATCACGCAACTCTAACCTTGATATACTGATCCATATAATGAGGTCAAGTTCAGGTGAATTGTTTCTGACAGACCAGGGCTTCCAAAATTTTCTGATGACAGCCGGACATTTTTCAAGGAAATATTTTCAAGTCCGGAATAAATGACCGTTTGGAAGCCATGGTGCACAGTATTTCCTCTCACCCCATATGGAATTTACTGACCCCATATATTCTGTATTAGGTCACTAGTACACTATGTAACTAATAGTATTATCAGAGAACAATTTAGAATATGGACAACATAAAACTTTTTTTATCTTTTCATTGGAATGAATAGTGGAATATATATATCATAAATATCATAATGGAGAGTATATATGGAAGGGGTTTACAGAATAGAGAATAATTGACAAAAAAGTGCAGAATAAAGGGCAAACAATTAAAGAATAGAGAAACAACTGCAAAAATAATACAGAATATTGAATAATGGGGCACACAAATATAGTGAATAGAGATAATATAAATGGGTAAAATAAATATTGAATAGAGAGAAAAATGGTCTAATATTTAAAGAATAAATACATAAAGGACCCCCTCAGTCATCCAAACCCTCATTTAGCAGAACAGTAAAAAAGATAAAAATCTACTTTCAAGGAGTGTATTATATGTGGACTTTTTCAAACAGTTTCATACATTCCCCATATCTTTAACTATTATTATGTTACCAAATACTTACATCTGTCCATTATTATGTTGTCTTTTAGGTCACATTGCATTTCAAGCTGCGATGTACAATACTTGCACAGTTGTACACCTAGAAAAAAAAATTTCTGCAAAAATAAGATAGAGTCTTGTGAAACTTAGGCAAACTGTCATACTAGTATAGATACAGAATCGTGTGACTTTCTAACAGAAAATTTACATCACATCAATGAGAAATTGCAAAAAGGAAATAAAATTATTCATTTGTCAATTTCTTTGTTGATGATACATGAGGGCATTAGCCGCCTTATTTTTACATGTTCACAAATCAGTATCCAGGAGAGCAGTAAACATAGAGGCTCTGCACCCTCCCCCTGAAATTTTGCACCCTGGTGCTCTTTAGGGAACCAGGTGCTTTTTTCAAGTAAGGACAGAGTTTAAATATTATCTATCATGATGCCTTAATCATCAACCATTAATCAGATGTCCTCACATCTAAGGGAGCTACCATTTGAAATTTATGGGGGGGGGGGGGGGCTAGAATGAAATTTAAAAAATAAAGCAGGACAGGAGTTTTGGGTAAAATAAAAAGAAAAAGGCAGGAAGACAACTTATGTAAAAAAAAGTCAGGATAAATTAATAAAAACTAGAGGCTCTAAAGAGCCTGTGTCGCTTACCTTGGTCTATGTGCATATTAAACAAAGGACACAGATGGATTCATGACAAAATTGTGTTTGGTGATGGTGATGTGTTTGTAGATCTTACTTTACTGAACATTCTTGACCTTACAATTATCTCTATCTATAATGAACTTGGCCCAGTAGTTTCAGTGGAAATTATTTTGTAAAAATTTACAAAATTTATGAAAATTGTTAAAAATTTATTATAAAAGGCAATAACTCCTTAAGGGGTCAATTGACCATTTTGGTCGTGTTGACTTATTTGTAGGTCTTACTTTGCTGTGCATTATTGCTGTTTACAGTTTATCTCTATCTATAATAATATTCAAGATAATAACCAAAAGCTGAAAAAATGTCTAAAAATTACCAATTCAGGGGCAGCAACCCAACAAAGGTTGCCTGAATGGTCTGAAAATTTAAGGGCAGATAGATCTTGACCTAATGAACAATTTTGTTTTTGAAAGATTTGCTAGAAATGCTTTGGGTTTAGATATATGAGCCAAAAACTGCGTTTTACCCTATGTACTATTATTAGCCATGTCGGCCATCTTGGTTCGCTGGCGGGGTCATCAGACACAATTTTTAAACTAGATACCCTAATGATGATTGTGGCCAAGTTTGGTTAAATTTGGCCCAGTAGTTAAAAATCAGAGAAGATTTTTGTAAAAGTTCACGGACGACGGACGCGGGACGGAAGACGACAGACGCCAAGTGATGAGAAAAGCTCACTTGGCCCTTTGGGCCAGGTGAGCTAATAAAAAGGCAGGACAGAGATTACAACTAAAAAGAATGCGGGACAAAATTTTTCATCCTAGCCCACCCATAAAAATCAAATGGTTAGCTCCATAATAAAAGATGATTTAATTGATCATTGAAATGTGTGTCAGAATGATAACTTCTCAATGTTCATTTCTTTAGGAATATTTATTACCCTAAAGTAATGTTTTTATTGTCTTTAAGTGACTGACACAGTCCTGAGGATAAAATTTTCATATCTCTTCATTTATATCTACAAATTCTTATGATGTTTCACATCCTGGGGGATTAAAACCCATAAAATTGAAATTTTTCACACATAATTGACTAATAGTAGTAATTGGGAATGTAAACATGTAATAATGTTTTTCCCAGTAGGCAGTTTAACCAAACTTCAGATAGACAAGATGTAATAAATATATTATACTATAAACACAGCATGCACAGGACATGTGATCCTACCATAATGATGAACTGAGTATATACTGTCCCTTTGACAAATAATGCGAAGTTAAAATTTTGTTATTTAGATTCTGTGAATTTTAAAAATTTTAAACATTCTTAGTTTGTTGGAAATAAATATAAGTTATAAAATTATACTTAATCATCTGCAGAATTTTTTTATTAATGAAAAAAAAGAATTAGCATAAATGATTAATCTATAAACATGATTAAGATTATAGTCGGATCCGGGTAATTTCATACAGGCAGGTAAATACAATACATATTACATTTCGCTTGTTTATCAAACAGGGAACCATATGACTTTCATTTAGGACCAAAAGTGTACGGAATTACCCCAACCGACTCTAATGTAAGATCAACCTCCTTGGTAAGATATGTACATGCATTCATACCCTAAGGTCACAAGGCTTTTGACCTTAAATGAATGGTGTCTAGAAATTTCTCCAGGTTACTTTTAAGCATATAGAACAGTTTTGAACATTTAAAAGGTCCCAAGTACATGTGAATATTAATGAGACATAACAATGTATTAAAAAAATTTCAAAGAACAGATATATATGATACAGAATAAAAGTGACAAGCCATTTTTACATTTTCACTTGGGGTTTGTGTTGATAGTAAAAAATGTATTGTAATTGACTAATAATGGATTGTTGAGACTTGTTATCAGGTTATCATGGTTATATGTCTATACATTGTAGAAAATTGTAAACATGGTAAATATGGAAAAAAAAGATTTTTTTTTTACAGCGGGGCCCAATAAGGAGGGTCCATGCCCCAAATACCTGTGATGTAGATGAATAGAAAATAGGGATTTTGTGCAAGTAAAGCCTAGATTTTAGTAAAAAAAAAAGACTTTTAATTAGTTTTATCTATTACAGATTTTCATTATAAAATTTAACTTACTTACAAGTATTATGTCCATGCCAGCATTTATGGTTTACAAAAAGTCCTACACATCATTTAAAAATACAATCCAGTCAAGCACACCCTAAAAGGTGTACTTGAATAGGTCCATATTTAGTAGTCTTGATTCAATGAATTTATTAATAATCTTTATTTCTGAATTTTAAATTTGTTTTATTAAACTGTATGAGGGAAATAATTGCTCTATCTATCAAGCATTGACTTTACTGTGGTCAAGCAGATGACAAAAAAAATATTCTAAATCCAGATTTCCCCATAAATTTACCTTAGGTTTTCCCAACTGAAGTGGTTCATCTGGAAAAGGTGCACCCATGGAATTTACAGAATAGGTAACAGGTAACAGGTCTGTGGAATCGGAACAAACATTCTGACCTTTAATCTGTTAAAGTTCGATCAACAAGAGTCAAGAAAGAGTGGCAGTGTCGATAGAAAAAGCGTCTGTTATCCAAATAAATCAGGGAACCAGTTCAGATCAGTTCAAGAAAGACAAACTTTTTGTGACCTTGAAGATGCAGGTCATGCAGAGCTTTGCTGAATGAAAACACGTCAATACGACAGGAGCCCGGGACAGGAGCATGTTGTTGAAATGATTTCAATATATATATGGTAAACATTTAGTTAAAACAAGTGTGAGAGCAATGTACGTTTAAAGAGGGACTGGATTTTTTGTTGGGGGGGGGGGGGGGGGGGGGGGGGAAGGGTTCAAAGGTATAGATAAGGGACCACCATTTGATTTTTATGGGGGCTAGGATGAAAAATTTTGTCCTTCATTTTATTAGTTGTAATGTCTGTCCTGCCTTTGTATTTTTCACTATATTCGGTCCTGCCTTTTTAAGTTTTTTGTATTAAAATTGAGAATGGAAATGGGGAATGACCGAATGTGTCAAAGAGAGAACAACCGGACCAAAGAGCAGAATACAGCCAAAGGCCACCAATGGGTCTTCAACATAGCGAGAAAACTCCGCACCCGGAGGCGTGCTTCATCTGGCCCTTTAACAAAAATGTGTACTTCAAAAGTTCATTAGTTTATCCTGACTTTTTTTTCCATAAATAGTCATCCTGCCTTTTTTTGGGACCAAAGTGTCTTATCACGCCTTTTTATTACTCAAACCCCTGTCCTGCCTTTTTTATCAAATTTCATTCTGATATATTTTTTTTTTTATTATAGTCTAGTTGCATAATGTTTATTATTTGAACAGAGTATGTTACAGTTTGTTGAAAAATTTGCCGAATATTTGTAATTGCTGCAACCAAAAACAAAAATGAAATTTAAATTATTTTCCTTTAATTTGCATAGTGGAATACTGGAATACGTTGTACTTTTCTTATTGATATTTGTTAACAATTTTATTAATTCTGGTTAGTCAATTTGATAACAATATGAATTTATATCTTTTTCAAGTTTTAAAATTTGTACATCATTGTTTTTACTCATTCCAAGCTGACTATATTGCTAGTTTATCAAAATAAAATGTTGTTTTTATTATTAATCCATTACAAGAATCAGTAAGAATTATTATTTTGAACAATTAATGCTCTAAAACAAATCTTAAGCCAACAACTTTTAAATATTTCCATGTGTTTTCATAAATTTCCAGAATTTATACCATATAAATATCTGAATAAGTTTTTTAAAGTTTAATACCCATAAAACAATATGTTTTAATAGAAGTAGGGAGAACGGACCCTAGGCGAACAGACTCTATGGGCGAACGAACTCAGTGCTAACACACCCAGGGCAAACATGTAATCAGGGCGAACAGATTTTGTTAATGCGATTTATATTCTTAATTAAATGAACAGGCTATACATCAAAGAATATAATGTAATAAAACCTCAATCTTTATCCAAATCTTCATATTGTATATATATATATATATGTAATTTTCTTTCCTGTTTCAATCAAACATAATTATATATCTACTTTTTTGTGTAGTCAAAGAACAAATATAAATTTCTTCTCTTTATTAAGTGGGTACAATCTCTTTTTCCTTTATTTTGTGTTTGCTTATATTGACATTTTGATTCAATAATGTCAAAAACAATATAATACAAGCAATATTCCAGAAAACAGTTGGGCACTCAAGGGAGATATTTAATTCTATTCATATGATCATGTATATTATTATATAGACATGTATAATATATATTTTTGTCTGAAGTCATTATTTGGGTCAAAACAAAACAAAATTATTCTGAACCTGTGTGAAGTTCAGTAAATAATGATTTAGTACATGTATACCAGTAAATATATATATGTAAATGTTAAAAAAGACAATGGATAAATGTTATGTAGATCTAT